CGAAATTCATAACATAACAAACGCAACATGTGAGATCAAAAATATACCCCGTGATTCTGAGGGAGGCGAGAAACACGAAATCTGATTCTAGATGCCAGTTTAGCGACAATGTTAACCTTTCTCCAGACTTTCGCCATGTCTGGGTGACCTACTGGACACGTTTTGGCCATCCTTATAGGGGCTACACAATATAGATAATACACTTCCCCGAGCCATCTCTTGCTCGCTCCAAAGCTGTGGGAGAAGTTATCGGACGAAAAAACTCTCAAATACACAACATGAATTAAATAAACGAAAATTTACACTGAAAAGGGAACGGCCAAGGTCCATTCTAATTTTAACTATTTGAATGATATTTTACAACTGAAAGCAATCGAATTAGATCTGGTGAAATCATCTAAAAGAGTTGACTTAGTCCTTGACCATCTACAGTTTATAGTTTACGTGAGATTTATGAAAACATTTTCGCGGCTTTTTGTTTTAATAACACAGAAACAACTCGGCCGTTTATCTAAGGTAGTATCCCATGTAGGATGCTTGATGACACATAGAATTTATAACAACATATTTTCTCGTGTGCTAATTGATATTTAAATTTTCAGCGAACTCTTGAAGATGTGTGGAAACTTGAACCCTCTGGCAAACAGCTCGTGTTGAAATCAAATAATTGAAGTTCGGCAGTAAGAGAATGAGAACAAAACCATTCAGTCGAATCTTAAACCAAAATAACCAGTGTATTCGGTTAGTTTATAAATAGAAGAATCTGGTTATCTGTAATTGGCTTTACTTAAAATCATTTTCAAAAAACTGGTATATGAAGAAAACATTATTTAGATAAAATAAAAATGCTTCTCGTGTACAGAAAAGACAACAAGCACAGAAACACATATCATGAGTAAAGGTTACGCCTCCCCCCCCCCCATTGGCTCAGCGGAAAGTCTGAAGGTACATAACGTTAAAAACCGGGTTTCGATACCTTTTGTAGGCACAACACAGATAGCTCATCTTGTAGCTTTTCGCTTATCAACAAACAAGTGAACGTTATTATTACTGTACCTTCGCTGTTAACCAACTCCTCTAAATAACATTCAGACTGATTTTATACAGCTAATATCAAAATGTTCGATATTAGTACCATTTTAAACCTTATGGAAATGAGCCTTGTTATGTGACGTTTATCACCTTATTAATTAAGACTAACAATATGATGATTACTAAGTAACTGCTGTAATATAAACTATTTCTAAAATTAAAATTTCTTTTTTGTAGATGTCAAACGATCGTAGAAACCTCAACGAACAAACTTTACACATCTCTGATCTAGAGACAGAAAATCGAATTTTAAAGGAAAAGGTAAGAGCCATCCTGAAGGTTCTGAATGGTCGAAGGTAAGAAATAGTTGTAAATTAGTGAAATGTCACACGACCTGAAAAGTTGGTGTAAAGATTACTTGTTTAATTACAGTGGTAAGGATTTATCCTTGTAACATACTTTTTGTGATAAAATGATCTAAATATTACAGATATACTTTAAGATGGAATAATTACTTTTTGTCTTCTTTTTTCTTATTAGAAGTATTCCTTAACTAAGTGCAGTCAGTAAAAATGTTCACACAAGGACCTTCTGAAGATCCACTAGCTTTTACAACTATTTACTTACAGCCCATAAGTAATCCATATTTCCTTTTCAGCAATAACAATGTGTTTGAGGGGTTAGAAATCAAACTTCTTTTGAATTACTTACTTAGTATATAAAGTCTTCACATCAAGGTTTTTGAGAAAAGAATCTTATGTGAAATTATGATTACGTTCATACAGCAAATAAGATCATTAAGAAAACTGAAAACATAATATTAATTACACTTGTAAACAATAATTAAATATTTAATTGAACATACATATTTAAATTCTATGTCCGCTAGTGGCACAGCGGTAAGTCTGAAGACTTCTAACGCTAGAAACTGGGTTTCGATACGTGTGGAGGGTACAGCACATAGTGTAGCTTTGCGCCTAACAATAAACAAACAAACACGTTGTATATTTCACGTATTTGTATACAGAAAATAAACTTATGATATATCGAGTTACGTTTCACATTTTTTCTGTTTTGTAAAAATGTGTATAAAACTACACGAAGCACCCACCTGCCTGTGTCGTTGAATTAATGTGAGGAAAATTCTTGCTGCAGGGATTCGGTCCTTTCGAAACGCGAACAGCATCTAAAGTGTACCTGAACGTTAATACTGATCATATACACCCCACAATTTACACCCTGCCGGACACGTGATTTTCCAAGACAATAATATAACAAGCTACCACACTTGACCAGTATCATGACCGGACTAATTTTGAAACGAACTTGAAAGTCGTATTCGCCATCATGATATCCTGTAAGAAATCTGTGATCGTATTCTTCGATGAACAGCCGAATAAAAATAGATTCCAAGCTGTTATTGATACGAAAGGTTGTTATCCTGATATTAGCTGGTGGTGACTAATCCATGATATACGGTGTTCAGTGTGTTTTATTAGTCAGTATGTATAAGTTCATTGATAGCTTTTCTCGTTTGGTGGTTCTTGTTGTAGATGACTGAACTACAGAACAAAATTTCTCAACTAACCAGCCAAACTCAGGATCTTCAGGAAACAAAAAATCTCGAGATAACCGTTCAAGAGTTAGAATCTCGACTGCAGCTTGAGGACACAACAAAGAAACGTTTGGAGGTCAGAAGTGTTGTTTTTTTATTATAAAAAAAACAGATTTTCTTTTTCAAGTTTATTATCACTTGCACATTTTAATATATTAAATTATGAACTGTTCACGTATACAAATCCTAAACACAATTATTGAGATGATAGAGATCCTTATGATATTTTATAAATAAAGTTTGCAACTAATTTCACTAACAGAAACAAGTTGTAAAACTTGAAGAAGAACTTGAAAATCAGAAAGAACATCATGAAATGTTAAAGAACAAGGCTAAGCAGGCAGAAGAAACTCAGCGGCGGCTTCAGCGACAGATTGTAGAAATGCAGAAAGAAAATGGCACTTTGCAGCAGAAGGAATCTGAATCAGTCCGGAGGTGTTGCATTTTAGTAAGTAATCAGCCCGCTGATTACTTACTAAAATGCAACACCTCCGGGCTGATTACTTACTAAAATGCAACACCTTCTGATTACTTACTAAAATGCAACACCTTCGGGCTGATTACTTACTAAAATGCAACACCTTCGGGCTGATTACTTACTAAAATGCAACACCTTCGGGCCCGGAGGTTTTACATTTTGGTAAGTAATCAGCCCGGGGGTTTTGCATTTTAGTAAGTAATCAGCCCAGAGGTTTTGCATTTTAGTAAGTAATCCGCCCGGAGGTTTTACATTTTATTAAGCAATCAGCCCGGAGGTTTTGTATTTTAGTAAGTAATCAGCCCGGAGGTTTTGTATTTTATTAAGCAATCAGCCCGGAGGTTTTGTATTTTAGTAAGTGATCAGCCCGGATGTGTTGCATTTTAGTAAGTAGTTGTTATAACACTAAAGGGCCCGGCATGGCCGGGTGGTTAGGGCGCTTGACTCGCAATCTGAGAGTCGCGGGTTCGAATCCCCGTCACACCAAACATGCTCGCCATTTCAGCTGGGGGGGCATTATAATGTGACGGTCAATCCCACTATTCGTTAGTAAAAGAGTAGTCCAAGTGTTGACGATGGGTGGTGATGACTAGCTGCCTTCCCTCTAGTCTTACACTGCTAAATTAGGGACGGCTAGCGCAGATAGCCCTCGAGTAACTTTGCGCGAAGTTCAAAACAAATAACACTAAAAGTTATGATTACGAACATTATCCTGTGTTTTTCTAAGTGAAATATATTTTTATTTATATATTCATGCCTTTGACGATTCCAATTATCAAACAGAAAATCGTTATTATAATCTTGGGAAAAATTGAGCTGGATAATGTTTAATAGAAAACAATTAACAATAAACATCGGCTATACGATGTGATTCAGAAATCCATTGGCAGAAATGGAGAAGAATAGGAAAATAATTATTACAACATCATTGAGGTCATTGAAGGTCAGTGGGACAGCAGTAATTTTAACTATAGATGAACGAGAGCCATGTATGACAGTGCATCCTTTCTTTGCCCCAGATCTAGTAAGGAAGAAGAGATTCGTGTGCATCAGTGCCATTGTAGCTACGATATTACATTATAGTACTGATACGTCAATGTCGGGAGAGCAGACGATGGACACAGTAGATAGCTCAATGGGTTTTATATGTCGGGAGAGCAGACGATGGACACAGTAGATAGCTCAATGTGGCTTTGTTATAAAACAAACAATCAAACGAAAAACTATAAATCCTTTGGAAGATTTATTAAACTGCCTCATACACCAAATATGTCAATGACTGAGGTGTAGACATTTTAGCCCAAAATTACCAACGTCGATCGTCAAAATACAACTTATGTGTGTAAATGTATTTCAGAGGTCGTGTACTTTAGGTTCATGGAGGCGTATATTGACCATCTGGTTTAGCGGTAAGCCTGTGAATTAAAACGCTAAAAGCGGGTTTAGATACTTGTCGTGAACAAAGCAGACAGAACTTTATATGTAACTTTGTGCTTAACAACAAACAAATAAGATGTCATGTGGGCAGATCAAGAACATTAACCAACATTGATAATTAAGCCGCCTTGTTGCCATTAGTTATATTCGGATAACACTTTGAGCACAGCTATTTATCAATTGCCACCACTTCGTGATACTGTTAGAATGTTTATCTCATCTGCATATATATATATATATGTTAAAGTGTTCTTATTTGTGAAGCGATGTTGGTAATTTTTGGATTAAAATGTTTCATCTATCATTGTCTACAACTTTGAAATTTTAACTTTTGCTACATGATGCATATCAACAAAAAGTTTCGAAAGATATTACTTTGAAGTTAACCTTGGATGACCTCAAGGATATTGTCAAAATATAGGCCCACAATTCTTTATTCTATACTACTAAAAATTAATTTCGTATATATTTTCATTATTGAATTATTTTCCTGTCAATGGGCATGTCCACCAGTGGGGCAGCAATAAGTTTACGGAATTACAACAATAAAATCCGGGGTTCCGTTCTTTACAGCGGATATAGAACGTTGTGTATGTTTGTGCTAAAACAAGTAAATGGACTTTCTGAATAACCAATATAGTGTTTATCAGAAATATTTGAACTAATCCTGAAAATAATCGATAATGTAATGTTCAGTAGAAAAATATGAACGAGATCAAAAGAAAATGATTGGATAATGTTTATTAGGAAAAACATTAGGTAATTAAAACTTTATTAAATATCATTTATTATTGGAAAAATAAGTTAATCTTAGTTTGTTACAATTAACACTAAAAGTGGGAGTTTTTAATGAAATAAAATTATTAATTAAAAAGTATTAAAATACGTGTAGAATAACTTTTCGAATAAAAGTAACGAACGTTGAAAATAGTATTGAAAATCTTGATGTTGCTGGAATATTACAACTGGAATTGCAGTACTGAGTGAATTTGTTACTGCTTTGAAGGAGTGAAACAGTTATTGCAGAAAAATGAAAGCAAGACAGAGTGAAGTAATGGTATGATAGATTATTGACATATGAACTTATGCATTGTCACATATAGAATGAGACACTATAGTGAATGGAAAATTTATTCTTAAACCACTCACCCTCTTTTATTCAGAAATAAAATGTTTCAGCTTGAGAACGCCTCCATTTTTAGCCAGTTAGAAGTATAAGGTTCCATTTATTACATTTCAAGATTGTACAGTACAGGCTGCTCTAATAATCATTAATCACTCTAATTGTGAGCTTATTCATTACATACTGCTAGGTCTTAAGTTAAGAAAATTATAGATATATTAGTCCATAGTAAATGCGGTTTTCATATTTGATTATTTAACAAAAATGTTATACAAAAAGTAGAAATAGACAGTGTCCACATCGCAGTCAGTAATCTGTTGACTGTTCTAGCATGTAGAAAACAATCACATTTTTTGACAAACAAACATATCACTACAAAAGGAGTCAAAGTACCTAGTAATTTGGAAGTTTATTACAACATAGCAAACAAAATTTAGAAGTGCCGAAGATTTGTGCATCGAGTATGTGACAGCATAGCAAGAGCTTGAGAGCTTCCTGTAAAGCTTGTTAGTAAGACAACCAATGATGCAAAAGGGATTTAGAAATGAAATCCATGTACATCACAAGCTGAAAGAGAAAATGATACAGATACTGGTCGACACATAATTATGGAACTCCAAACGAGTGACTGTGTAAAATTGTAGAGGTCAGGGAAAATTCACAGGGGAAGGTCAGACTTTGTTACATGCTTACTCTGTAGAACACAGATAAGTTTATCTGTCTTCATGCGTTGAACTAAGATATTTAAATTAACGAATAATGGTTAGGATAGTTAGTTAAACCACATTACATCAATCAGTCTAGCTGATTAAATCACATTACATCAATCAGTCAGCTAATTAAACCACATCACATCAATCAGTCAGCTAATTAAACCACATTATATAAATCAGTCAGTTAATTAAACCACATTATCTCAATCAGTCAGCTAATCAAACCACATTACATCAATAATCTAGCTGATTAAATCATATTACATCAATCAGTCAGCTAATTAAACCACATTACATCAATCAGTCAGCTAATTAAACCACATTACATCAATCAGTCACCTAATTAAACCATGTAAAGTATATCTTTTAAAATATTCTATTTAGCTGACTGATTGATGTAATGTGGTTTAATTAGCTGACTGATTGATGTAATATGCTTTGTATACGTGGGACTTGTTCTCTAAAATTAACCGATTTGACTAGATGCACAACATGAGTCAAATAATTTTCAAGCTGGGATTAGCCCCACTATTGTCTGAGGAATGCTTGGCGTGGAAAGCCCCCTAAAGGAAGTTGAGTATTGACAATAATTTATAAGTATAGCTCACGAATAATGATAGTTTCAACGAAATGTTTAACCATATCCTATTTTGTCATCTAAATCATCTAGTTCACTTAAGGGTCAGAATCAGAATCCACTTCATTTTTTTCCATTTGCCAATTTTCACAATTATCATCACACTTGCAGGGTTCAATGCATTGCATCCCAAGTTTCTTGAAGCGATATCTACATATCTTCACACAGCCACACAGAGTTAATTATACAATTGAATTTCTTGCTGCTTCAACTTCATCATCTTTTCCTCAACCTCTAGTAACTATACATGATAGAAGAAGAATGGGTGAAGATAAACGTTTTAAAGTTTTGCCATTTGTCGGTGAGAGCTAGATACTGTCAACGCTTTCTTTGTGAATACTAAGTGGTTCAAATCATCTAGAGTTTTAAAATCCTGCCATTACAACTTGTTTATTAAGGGTCTTGCAGCATTATGATTTATGTTGGATATCTCGTAGCCTAACTTGAGCCTTGATGTGGCAAGGTTGTTGTTTTTGTCAATTCCTGATCATTTTTTTAAATCATATCCTGTCAAAGCGAGAATTGCTGGTAGTTATTTACAGCCTTCCTAACCTATAAATTAACCAGCTCCATGGATGACAATGCATCTTTTCTTTGCCCCAAATCCAGTAAGAAAGAAGAGCTTCGCGTGAACCAGTGGCATTTTAACTACGATATTACATTATAGTATTGCTACGTCAGTATCGGAAGAGCAGACGACAACTGTATCACAACCATTGGCTTTAGAGTACATGCAGTGTTAGAGCATCCTTGTATCAGCCTCTTCGTGGTTGAGAAAAGAACAGAAGAAATATAAAGTTTTACTGAAGAAAACTTTTGATATTCATACAGGAGATTCTAGAAGTAATGCAATAGAAATGTGAAAAATGTAAGATAAAAACTATTTTAAATCTTAACATGAATATCACTTTGCATTCAGGCTAGTCAGAGTCTGGATGAAGCTCTGACTCCAGAAATATATAACCCGGCATGGCCAGGTGGTTTGGGCACTTGACTCGCAATCTGAGGTTTCGAAT